ATTGCTAATCCCATATAAATAATTTTGCTCTACAATTATAATATAGTTTTTCCACCATTGAAACCAATATCAGCCTTAAAAGCATTCTTAACATAGAACTTCATGTGGCCTCTAAGAATGAAGTAGATTTGTCACTTGTGATAAAAGTTATTTTGCATTAAATACTAGAGTATTTCCAAGATCTCTTTTAATTCTAAAATTCAATGTTCTTTATTGTTCAAATTTGTTAGTTTTGAGAAAACATCCAAACATTGATTTTCCTCTTTGTATTTATTGGACTAAACTTTGAGGTTTCTGGCTGACATGAACAAAAGTCACTTCATAAACTCAAATGACACATACTCTTTTGATAGTACTTGGAAATTTGTACTCTACAGTTGTGTTAATTATGTTTCCTCTTAATGGACTAACCACAAAAAGTCAAGAGTCTCTTGAAGTCCTCAATATAAATGATACTGCTTTAATAGTGGATTTGGAGACTTACTAATGTTAGTTAACAATCAGATCAAGTCCATACTGAGGCAGAGATGACCTAATGCTTTGTATAAAACCTTGTAATAGTTAAAGTCATGTGCTTTTGTAACTGAAAATATTCCTGATCATTTAATAAAATATTATGTTTAAAAATAAAACAGATAAATATTTCTTGAATACTGTGAATATTTGCTAAGAGTCTCTGTTTTGCTTTAGCATTTGAAACTGTGTAAATACTGTCACAGAGCTATTCTGGGAGAAGCCCAGGGCAAATGAAGAATGAGCATATTAAAATCTAGGGAAGATTCTTTATTCCATGTGTTCAACCTTCAGAAAAGAATAAAGCTTTTATAATGATAATTAAAAAGTCAAGAATAAAGAATAGAAGATGCTATGATTTGGACATCATATTTTTTTTGCTTCCTTAACAAGCCACATAAAGAAAATATAAGTATTTACCTATTTCTTTTTACAAAAAGGGAAGAAATATACAGGTTACTTAAGGGAAAGCAGTAATTTACATTTGATTATTTTCAAAAAGAGTACCACATTAGTATTTAATGCAGTACTCTCCTTCTTACACTATATTTTTAAAATATAAAAATGTTTTTAAACTAAATCCTATTATATAGAGACTGAGAATTTTTAAGTAAAATATTAGAAGAAATTTTATGAAAATATTAACTATGACTATTTCTCCATAGTAGCATGGTGATTTTATTTTATGTATTTATAATCAGTAAAAGAATATTATATTTGAAATCAAATATTAACTTAAGGCACAGCTAAGATTTTAATTTAAAAACACCAGTACAGTAATGGGAAGAAGTGAATTAAAATGATTCATTTTTGAGCTCAAAATTAGAAATAATAAGAATGAAGATTTACTTGAAATATTTTTCATTTAAATAATGTTGATTCATTATTGAACTGACAAGAGAGAATAAAAATAATAGCAATAACAAAAAAGGACAAACTTGTGAGTCTGACATCCGGCACCATTTATCCTCATTATTATGAAATCATTTGTTCACTCAACACATATTCATTGAACATCATTCATTGTTAGGTATTGTCTCAGATGCAAGGGTTTAAAAATCTTAATCTTGAAGAGTCCACAGTGGTTGAAAAAAACAATCTCGAAATTTGACATGATTGAGTGCTGTAGGAAGTGCTCTCAGAGCCCAGAATGAATAATAGATGAAAAGTTCTACTTACAGCTTCCTTTTTATGCATATCCTTTAGGAACCCACTTCAGATAGTTTAAGCCCTATTGCTGGCCATTTCCCAAAGAAGCTAATATTTTGCTTTGACTGTTCCTGAATGGAATGCCCTTTCACTGACTTCCTCCAAATCCACCCCTCCCTTTCACCTTAAGTCCCATTTCCAATGCTACCTATAAAATACTCTGCAGCCTCTGCCTCCTTCCCAACTAGTGCTCTCCCATAATTCTCCTAACCCTAAATAGTGTCACTTTTCTAAACTGGTTCATTTCACCTATGGCTCACTTGGAGTTCTTATTGCTTTACACTGTGTAGTTGAAATTTTATGTACATAAATTACTTTGTCTATGTGGTGGCCAGGAAAATGTGTCACTCAGATCTTTTCCTGCAGGGAGCATATTTGACAGCTCCTGCCCTTCTAGATTTATCAATGTGTCCATGCCACGACTATGCTTCCCACACTCTACTACCAGACATTGACTTGGCAATACTACTAACAGAGGTCCATCTCTGCAAGATGAGAAAATGTTCTGATAGGACACTTGAGTTTGAGAATTACACTTTGCTCTCACCAAAACCTGAGAACTGTGCTGCAGACACTGAGATTCTTTCTTTCTTTTTCTTTTTTTTTTTTTTGTTATTTTTATAGTATGCTTCTGTACTTTCCTTTTATGCATCACCCTCTTCACATAATGCAAAGAATGTTCCCCAGACTGAGATACTTTCTAACCAATTCTCTTTCACCTCCCCTTTTCTTCACAGCTGTCAGAAAATGTAATGTCGTGGGAGGCTTTCTTCTCCTTCTCATGCTTGCTCCCCTTTATTCTTTTGGGGCCTTTTTCTCAACACATTTCTTGCCTGCATTAGCCTATCTTATCATTGGCTTTTCAGAGGACCTGAGGTAAAACAAGTAGAGGCACGAGTGGAACAAGAAGATAGGCAATGAGATGGAGCACGGAGACTGGCTCACATACTCCCTCCCAGATAAAGAGAGTACTATCCTGAGTGATGTAGCCCCAGAACAAGGTGACATACCAATTGCTGTCACTTCTGGTGACACTGAGAAAAATGCCTTTTGATGAATTCGACATTTGAAATATATGAGGAAAACAATGTATGCAAAGGCAAAAGAATTGGCTGCCTACTGATACGTGGTATTGATAAGCGACAGGTATTTAGCAAGCTGTTAAAGGCTAAATATGAGATCCAGAGAAGCTATTTGATATCTTAAAAGAGGACTTTATTTCCTGAACTGGAAAAGCTGGAACAGGTAGACAGCAATTTGAGGACTTAATAGTTTGAGTCACAGAGGTATAGAGATTTATAAATGCCCAGCCAAGGTAAATCTTTTATTATAAGTTCAGGACCCTGTTTGAGAAAATCTGGGACTGTGAAACATGGATAGGGATTGGGTAGAATCTTTGATCATGTTAGGTCAGCAGATCTCCTTGAAATCTTAGGTGGAGAGGCTGGTAACCTTTCCCTAATAAAAGCTAGTACGACTCATCTGCTAAAGATATTGCAGAAGTCTTTCCATTGCAAAGTGGCAGGTGTCTCTCCGATAAGCCATCCAAATCTCCTCCCTTGCAACCAGGCTGATAACCTGGGCTAAGTCCCAGCAAAAACTGCCCAGGGAAAGGTTTGGCCTAATAAGGAAAGAAATGCATTACATAACAAATGAGCTGGAGAAATTAGTTTGCATGTTTGGGCAGAACCAGAAAAACCTCAGGATTTGATGTTGAGGGTGTTTGATTAAGTGGGCCAGAGGTAACTGGAATCCATTGACTTTTGTGCATTTCTTAGTATACAGGATTTAATCATCCTGGCAAAAAAAAACCATAGAATGGCACTAAATTATTCCTTAGGTGGCTCTTAGAAGCTTGGAGAACTGGCCAGCAAAGAGTGAAGTAATGTCTGAATTGCCCTGGCAGGCTCTAGAAGAGGAAATAAAGAGACTCCAGCGGCCATGCTGGAATGAGCACATTATATGAAAATAGAAGACCCACCAGAGTATTATGTTCCATGGAAGTGTTCAAAAAACAAAGCCTTCACTCAGGCCATTGGGAATGCTCTGGTGAAAGGGAAAATAGTATCAAACAAATGTTCAGTGGTGACTCTCCAGCGAAGACCAGCACTCACAGCAGGAGAGGTGGCACAGACCTGGGCTTGTTAATATCCAGTGGGATTGTAGGACACTGTGTAATAAAGGTCACATGGAAATGCTTAGTGGCCAGGAGCCTGGAGGTCTCAGTTATCGTCAATGTTAGATATGAAGCTCAAGGGTCTTGATCTGAAAGAAATTGTGAAGATGACTAATAGAAACTGTGAAAATGACTAATAGAGCAAATAATTTTGCCCTAGAGGCAAAATAAAGGAGTAGCCAACTAAGGTCTTACTTAATATCTCAACCATAAAAAGAGAAGTATGATAAAACAGGACGCTTTGAGGGTGGTAGATCTAGTACAAAATTATGATCCTTTTCCAATTTTCAGATCTAGAATCTATTGACTAGAGAGGATGGTTATCCTATCTCCAGACCAACTGCAGTGATGGAAGCTACTTGCCCTATTACCTTCTACTCTTCCTTTTCTAAGTTTCCCCCTCAAAAATAGAGGACAATAGGAACCACCTAGGAGGTATGCACTAGACTACTGGAGAAGATGATGTATGTAGTTCAAGGGGTGAGAGGTGATGGGCATAAAAATGCATTGTTCAGATCTATGAATTGCTTAGTTGACCAATAGCTCCAACAGATTACCATGTCAATTCAGAATGGTATTTGTGCTTAGATCATCCTTCACATGGGCTTCTCTTCAAGGACTAAGAATGGTGGAGATACTAATCCTGGACATTCCTGCAAGATGTGGGATATTTCTAACATGCAGCTCTGCCTCAAGAACCCTCCATTTGCCTGGTCAAACTTCCCTAGAACTTTGCTGGGACTTTTCTCATCAAAGTTTTCTTCCTTTCCCTTCTTCTTCAAAATTGTCAGACACAAATAGTGGTCCAAAGGTTCTTCCTGCTTTTTCATGCCTTCTCCCCTTTATCCTCAAAAGTATTTTCCCCAAAAAATATTTTTCAAATGTAATGCTGTCTTGTTTTTTCCTTATAAGAGGACTTGGACTAAAATACCATAATAGATAAGAACATCTTGGAGCAGAAATCATCTTATAAATTTCTTTATGTTGAACAGCATACCATGTAAAAAGTTTAATAATTTTTATCTAAATTAAAAACATGGATATATTAGAAGTTAAAAATTTGTGTACTTATACTTTATGTAATTATTTCTGTTCTTTATAGTTATGACCTGACACAAGAAAGCAGCAAACCCAAAAGCTAAAAGATGAAGAAAAAGATTAAACATTGACTGAGTTCTTGTATTTAAATTCTTGCAAGAAGATAATATTCAGAAATTATTACTTCAAATGTTCTGAATAGTTTAGAAGACATCAGCACTATTTAAGCAAAATATAAAAGTCAATAATTGTCTTATACTGGGGAAAATTTTTTTTTTTAATTTGGTTTCTTAGAAATGTAAGACATTGTGCATGTAGTTATTTAGATGAAACCTAATAGGATATGAGTATAATAACTGAACATTTGAAAAGATCTTTACCTGTGGTGTTGTGTATGTATTAGTCAATGTTTCTTCAACCTCAAGGATTTTAAAATGAGAAGAAGAAAATCAATTATTAGTGAAATGGTATGCTCTGCAGCTCTTTATAGCCAACCTTTTAATACTACAAAATTGTCCTGGCACAGCTACAGGTTACTGTCAGGCAGAATGTGAAAAATTGCCTTTGGCAATTAACAAGTATTTATCAGCGATGACAACCCTAGTGTGCATAATTACAATGACATAGATGTCAACTAAGAGTGCGGCAAATTTAATTGTTTTATTTTGGTGCAACACACTGTATATTCATATAATATCCCTTCTGCTTGTCAGGCAATTATTTAGGAAGGTGTTTAAGAGATTTTTATTTGTTTTCTTTGTGTGTATGTATTATACAATAAACCATTAGAGCTGAGTGTTACTCTTTTACTAGTAATATGAAGTTTAGTTCTAAATAAATTTGATCTTGTTGATGCCAGGTAATGATACATCTTACAATTTCAAATTGACATTCCCAAAAAACCTTTGTTATTTGAAGAATAATTTGAGTGGATTGAGAATAAAAAGCACCACTGATTGAGAATTAAACAAGTTTTTAAATAAAAGTTATGTATAATGAATTGCATCCACTTATAGTATACAATGTAATGAGTTTTGACTGTTGTATATACTTGTGAAAATACCACCACAATCAAGATATAGTACAATACAGTACAATTACATCATCCACAAAAGATTCCTCATTTACAAGACAGGTGTTCTCCCATCCCCAGGCTCAGGCAACCACTGATCTGTATTTTGTGACCATAAATTAATTTTCATTTGTAGAAATTTTATATACATGGCAGCATACAGTATATATTATTTTAGGTCTGATGTCTTTCACATTGCATCATAGTTTTTTGATTTTTAATTATTATGGATACATTATACTTGTATATCTTTATAGGGTTTTGACGTTTCTTCTGCTGTACCCATACTTTCTTTTTTTATTGCTAACTAGTGTTTAATTGTATGATCATACCAAGTCGAATTTATTCATTTACTTTTTGGTGGACACTTAGGTTATCTCTAGTTAGGGGCTGTTATAAATAAAACTGCAAAGATATTAATCCGTGTATTTATTTAGATAAGTGTTCTAATTTCCCTTGGTAAATAGCTAAGAGTGGAAAGGCTAGATTGTAGGTAGATGTACCTAAATTTTCAAGAAACTAGTAATATATCATTTCACATTCCTACCGACAATGTATGATAATTCCAGTTGTACCATGTTTTTGTAAATTTTTGATATTTTCAGTCAGGGATTTTAATCTGTATTTCCTTGATAAGTACAGATTTATATTATGTTCTTATATGCTAATTGTTCATTTATATATCTTCATTTGCAAAATGTTCATATATTTTTAACATTTTTAATTTGGCTGCTTATTTATCTATGGTTGGTTGTCATTTGGTATGTCTTAGTGAGTGGTAAAAGTTATACATAGATATAGATAATACGTATAGAAGACCCATGTCTATATACGTTTTGTAAATATTGGCACTTACGCTGAATTGCCTTTTTTGTTTCTTCACAGTGTTTTTGGAAGATCAATTTTTTAAAATTTTAATAAGGCTTGATTTATTCATTTTCTTGTTTTTAGTTCATGATTTCTGTGTCATGTCCCATCTAAGAAGTCTTTGCTTTTGCCAATGTCACAAAGATGTTTTTTTCCTTCTATTGGAAAGGTATATATTCAGCTTCAGGTATATATTCTGTATAGTGTGATATAAGATTTGATGACCTTTTTGTCCATACTTAGTTGTTTCAGTACAATTTGTAAAAAATACTTTCTTTTCCCTATTAAGTTGCCTTGGTGCCTTTGTCAGAAATCATTTGAATTTATTTTTGGAGTCTATCTATGGAGGCTTTATTATTCTGTTGATTTATAGGTCTGTAATTATTCCTTTACTACACTGTCTTGACTTTTAATTCTTTTTACTAGAAATCAAGTACAAATTCTCTAACATTGTCTTCCTTTTCACTGTTTTGAATCTTCTAGGATATCTGTATACATAAAATTAAGCATCCACTTGTCAATTTCTACAAACAAAATAAAAAATAAAAAACACCTGATGAGATTTTGATTTGGTTTAAATTGAATCTATAGATCAATTTGAGGAGCATTGCTGTCTTAACAATACTATTACTATTATCTAGAACTTTTACTTCTCTTAACAGCTTCTGTAGTTTTCAGTGTAGAGACATTGTATTCCTTTTTCTAAATTATTCTTAAGCATTTTATGTTTTTAGCACTTTTGAAAATATAATTAACTTAATTTCGCAGTTATTTGCTACAAATATACAGATACAATTGAGTTTTTAATATTGACCCCTTTGAAAACTCTCTAAACTTACTTATTAGTTGTAATATTTTATTATGCATTTTTTATGTTCTAAACAATCATAACATCTTCAAATAGAGTTGCTACTACTTCATTCTTTCTGATTTTTATGCTATTTCTTTATGTTTCCTGCTTATTCACTGAGTAGAACCTCCAGTACAGATTAAATAGAAGAGATCGCAGCGGGCATCTTTTTCTTACTCTTAATATTAGAAGGTAACCATTTAAGACTTTATCATTGGGTTTGTTATTAGTTATAGAGGGACATGTTTTACAGGTAAAAGGGATCGATATGCTCAGAGGTTCAGAGGCAAGAAAGAGTATAGTATGCTGGTTAATCTTTAAGCAGTTTAATAAAATCAGAGCAGGTAGTGTAAAAGAGGGATTGGAGAGAGATGAAGCTGGAGCAATGGTTCTAAATGTCAACGGATTGTTGTAGCATCTGTTTCCCCTACATTCTCTATACCCACTTACTCATATTGTCTGTATTTTTAGTCCCTGCCTTAATTGCTGTACACAACCTGGTTCAATTACTGAACTAACATTTGGTTCAACAGTTCAAACAAATTCTCTCTTTGTTGATGGACCATGTCTTCATTTATGACCTCTGTTTTTTTGCATATTTCAGTCCTACAATGTTAAATTTGGCTCAATCACACAATTGTTCCTAACTTCTGAGCAGAGTCTTCCATCTGCTATTCGTCCTCAAGATGCAGATGGAGCCTATGGTGAAAAGAATAAGTAAAAAGGAGAAGTAATTTACTTTTAACAAATTTCATGCCCTGTATTTTATGTATTGGCTGATTTTCTAGACACACCTTTATCTGGTATCTTGTAAGGCAGAATTCTCATATGAGTCCCACATATTTTAGAATTTGATTCTATAGTATAGATAGGGTCTGAGGAATTATTAAAGCCCAAATAGTTAGCAAAAGGTCCCAGAGTGAAAACCGTAAGTGCCAAAACTGGATAGAATCACAGCTGCTGCCATACAGAATGGAAGAAACTAAATTGAGATTTGACAGCTATCAAGGTACATTAAAAGCATACACTTTGTGATCATTTATACCTGGTTTTAAATCCTAATTCCTCCGCTTAGCTCTGTGACTTTGGGAAGTTTGCCTAGGCTTTCTAAATCTCTCTATTTTAACCTCATAAGCCAAGTATAAATAATACAGAATACTTTTAGAGTTGCTGTGAGAATAGAAGAGGTAAGTGCTTGTAAAATTCTCTTAAGTGATGCTGTCAGTGACTACACATCCTTGTGGCCCCACCCTTGCTGTCCATGTCACCCAACTTCCATCTGCCGGCAGTCATGTCTCTCTGCTAGGCCTTTGTCTGGCCACTAGAGCCTGCTTTGCCCACTGATGAGAACGCCTGGAGAATTATTCTTGGGAGCATTTCTTAACTAATGTTTGGCAGAAGCTGGTAGATAAACATTTTAGCTGCCTCTCTGCTAGGATGGGAGACTTGAAGATGTGCTGTATATTGACTCTCATAGTCTCCAGTGGGATTGAGCTCCAGTCATCTATAGCAGCAGTGTATTTGATAATTTCCTCTTTCTTGCCTTTCTTCCCTTTCCTGTCTCATGAATTATGGTTTGACTAAGAAGGTAAAACCACTAAGAGTGATATGAAATAAGGGATTATATTAGAGTTTACAAGTTTGTGAGAAAAGGTGGAAAAGTTTATGGAAGGCTATTGCTCTTGCATTGTGTGGTGGGCCTGAAGTTGTTTTAGCTCAGCAGGTCTGAGGCCAGGAAAACAAGTTTGACGTGAAGTGAGGGCAAAGAGGATAATTGGAATCCATGAAGACAGACAGGAACCCACATTTCTCTTTCATTGTCTCTGACTTCAGTAGCACAAGTGATCTGCAGAAAAGTCTGGAGCTATTTACCAAAGAACTGTACATGTGCCTGTCCAGGACTCCAAAAAAGCTGAATGAGGTGATCTCATGAGATCTGGAGGGCCATAGACCTGGCTGCTTTCATACACTAACAACGTGAGTCAGCAGCCCAATGAAATGTGCTTGAGCAAATATAAGTGCCTGATATTCTAACCCTACCTCCTAAGCATTATTGCTGATGCTTTACTTCCACTTCACAATCTTGTAAATATTTACCTTGTGGCCAACTTTAACCTAGAAACATCCAAGGGAAATGTAGTTGACATGCTACAAAATCATCCCACTTCATTTTCCCTGGCTTTTATTTCTTTCACTGTTAAATGATTTGTGCTTGAATCCTTCTATCTGGTTGGAGGGTCTGCTTCTTAAATAACACTGTGCCTAGCCTATGGTAAAAATGAGAAAAATCTGTTATTTATACTCCTAGTCAAAGCAATCATTCTTGATGATTGTTAAAATTAATACATGATTCTTCATCTTTCCAAACCTACTCTTTCTGAAATTACAATATATGTCAAATTTAGTGTACATACAAAAATTGTTATGAATTTATTTTATATACATATATATTTTTAGACTTTCAGCATCTCTTACACTGAGAATATTATTCAGGAAGTGCTTTGAAGTGTAGAGATATCTGAATGTTAAATAAACTAGATGGTTCTAATGAACGTGCTTCATATGGTGCATTTTGAGAAGC